GGGAAGGGTGGATGATGCATCCGTCAAGAAGAATGTTAAAACCATCATATGCTATTCCTGTTCATGAATAATTACCTGTCAGGACCTCACTCTGGTAGTAGCTAAAGCCCTTAGCAGGTACCTGCAACCATCAATACTTGATACCACTAAAATACCTCTGCCTTATTCACAAGAAAACCCAGATGGTCTTCCACATAAACTGTTACTCTCCTGTATCAGCAGAATGGTGGTGGTGGCACTCCTGGGACCTGGCAGCATGGCAGAATGCAGAGGCTGGACTCCGCTACAGTCAGGACTCACTTCTGCTGAGCTTCGGGGGCCAGCCTGGTCCCGAGGGGGCATGGAGGCCACGCCCTGGGAGTGGAGGGTCAGCGGGTCTCCGGAGGTCGGCCCTGGAGAGCCCTCAGCGGCAGAGAACGTGACCTTGGCGCCCGGCTGCCACCGGAGTTGTCAGACCACGGCCCGAGGCTCCCTCGCGTCCCTGCACATGGGTGTCCCTCCCACCATGGCAGTGCAATCTTTAATTTAATCTGTTACTACTTGTTATATGGACCTGAAGATATTTTATTACAGGGTTTTTCATTAGTGAAAAATTCATGCCTACCATAGAGAAAATATTTTAGAATTTAATGTTTCTTATATTTATGTAAACTTATGACTTCATTTATATGCTTATTCTTGTATATTCAGGCTATGAATATACTTTCAGATCAATTCATGTTCTGATAAATGATTTTAGTCTTTCAAATGAATGTACTGTACTGCTTGCCTGTATAAAGCCTATGAACAAACATAGGGCTTTTGTAAATGATGCATTTATTGTCATTATCGTTCTTTAATTTTTAAATGAGAAACCACGAGAGAAGGGGTTTTCCTGCGATTGTAAAACCATCATGACACGGTGTGCATTATCCTTCCAGAATGTTAACCAAGCTCTCCAACAATCACTCTGAAATGAGCAAACTTAATTTCAACCAATTGTCGCATTTTAACGACTGACTTAAACTGTACTTTTTCCAGCAAGAAATGCTTTTTGCCTGCAGCGTGAAGTGACGTAAAAGTATGGGTGCTGAATGTGAGCTTCTACTGAAATCTGGGCTGAAAGCATGACTAGAAGCCTATGACAATCTCTCCCATAACCTGGTCTCTATGGACCCGGATCCCTCCTCTCCACTGAGACTTTTCGGGGACCAATCACGATGCCCTGCGCCCGCTGCAGAGCTGATGCACTGGACGGTGAAGGAGCCACATCCCTGACAGACAGACAGCGTAGTGCAGCTCTGACGAAGGCCTTATTTTTCTTCTGTAAATCATCTTTTTACATCTGTTTGTAAACTTGTTTAAAGAATGGATCTAGGCATACATTTTTAGATTTTGATGACATAGCCATTCTGGATTGTATAGGTAGCAAATGTAACTTTTACTTGTTCAGTGGCACATTAAAAAAGCCAGCAAGAGATGCGTTCAGATCACGGTGTGTTGTTTATTATGCCGCTGATATCTTGGTAGACAGAGACGGCATGTCTCTTTACATGTGGGTAGCGCCTTTAACTTACCTGTACAGTTCACTGTTACCATTCTGTTTTTCTATTAATCTTTTGTGAACTTCCTGAATATGTGAGAAAGTACGTACAGTTTACTTTTGAACAATTTTTATCACAGTATTATTTATTGCTTTCTTTCAATAAAGTACTGAAGCCAAATGTCCCACTGCCACTTAAGAGTGCCGAGGGTAAGCTGGACTCTCACTGAGAACAGGCCCGAGCTGGTAATGGGAGCCCGTGTCATCACATGGGCCCTCTGGTAAGAGAAACGCATGGAGAGAATGGAAAGGCTAGAAGGGGGAACTATAGGTGTCCCCAAAGGATGACCGATGGGGTGTTCATGCCTTTGGATCCAGAGACAAGAGGCTCCATCACTTCAGCATCTTCGGGGACAGGACCCCTCTGCTGCAGAGGCGAGGGCAGTGGGCCGAGGGTGGCAAGAGAGTGCAGGTGTCAAGGCTCACCGAGGGTGCCCGGGCGGGGTGGCCAGGGGAATGCACTAGAGAGTGTGCATGTGCATGCTTGTGTATGGGAGCTGTTTATGTTAATTTAGTCAACAGTCTTTATTATTCATATACCCATAGAAACAAGAATGTAGCAAGGGGAGGTGGCAGGGAGATTCACGAGGGACGGGACATACGTACACCTATGGCTAATTCATGTTGATTTACGACAGAAATCAAACCGATATTGCACAGCAATTATGCTTCAGAAAGAAAGAACATACAAAGGTGGTCAGGAACGTATGAAAAAAAGATTTCTCATAGAGATTTTTTTTTCTCATGGAGATTTACAATCACAACTCTGTGTACATCTGGGTGCAGGCTGCCCACCATCATCAGACTGGCCCACAGCATCAGACATTCCTCCCCAGCATCAGGCCCTCCCCCAGCATCAGACCATACTACAACATCAGACACTCGCCCAGCAACAGGCCCTCCCCCAGCATCAGACCCTAGTCTAGCATCAGACATTCCCCCAGCCTCAGACCCTAGTCCAGCATCAGAAGACACCCCCCCCCCAGCATAAGGCCCTAGTCCAGCATCAGACACTCGGCCAGCAACAGGCTCTTCCCCGAGCTTCTGATCCTAGACTAGCACAAGACGCATCAGACGTACCCCCTCAACATCCGGCCCTAGTCCAGCATCAGACCCAAGCCCAGCGTCAGGCCCTCCCCCAGCATCAGGCATGGCAGCCCCACTTGTCTGATGCTCCTGAGCACACTCAGGCAGCCCCTGAGCAGCACAACAACAGCTCGTGCAGGAGGTGCATCTGTAGGAATCACCTGCAGAGCAGCAGCAGCTGGGGTCTGTTTCAGGTCAAGGAGAGGTGGAGGGGCACTTGTGGAGGAGGCAGCCATGCTGTAGGCACGCTCCCCAGCTCTGCTTCCTCCCCATGGGGGCTCTGCTCTCCTGCTCTCTCACAGGCCCCAGGGCAGTGTCCTTCCAGATTCACGGTCGCCTTGATATCTCAAGCCCAAGTTCTGAGTTGCCACCCAGTCCAGCGAGGCAGAGGGCTGGGAGCACCCACGCTGAGGGGCTGAAAGGATCCCAGGGGGACAGCCGGGCCCCAGTGGGTGGCGGGGCAGGGGATGAGGGTGGCCGCCCACAGAGGGCCCCGCAGCAGCACTGCAAGGACAGCAGCGATGCCTCAGCTCACTCGGGGACGCTGCCGGCCTAGCACTCAGAGATGTTACCGCCGGCAGCAGCTCTGGGGATGCAGGAAGCCCGGTGAGTGACACCACGCTACTCAGGCCGTGTGCATGGGCACTGCTGACCATGGCCTCGGTTTTCATTCTGGTTCCAACTGTCCCTCCAAGGGCTGACGGGCTCCTCTTCTGAACGGCACACTTGTTTTATGTGGGTGAAGGTGTCCCTGCTTGTTTCTGTCCGCACTGTCGCCACTCGTCGTGTGGTTTCCTCCTTACAACCTGTGCTTGCGGCTCTTCCAGTTTAACTTAGGAGCAGCCCTTCTTTTCTGCATTTCCTAGTTGTCAGCGTTCACGGGGCCTTTCCAGGTGGCGCGAGCTGTAGAGATCTTGCCTGCCAATGTGAGAGATAACGAGATGTGGGTTTGATCCCTGGGTCGAGAAGATGCCCTGGAGGAGGGCATGGCAGCCCACTCCAGTATTCTTGCCTGGAGAATCCCATGGACAGAGGAGCTAGCGGCCTACACTCCCTGGGGTCGCAATGAGTCAGACACGACCGAAGCAGTTTAGCACACACTCAGGCTTTAGTTCAGTCGCTCAGTTGTGTCCAACTCTTTGCCACTCTGTGGACTGCAGCACTCCAGGCTTTCCTGTCCTTCAGTATCTCCTGGAGTTTGCTCAAACTCAAGGCCATTGAGTCAGTGATGCCATAGAACCATCTCATTCCTGTTGCATCCACCAGAGCGGTGGCTGGGGCTCGGCAAAGTGCATGGTCCCACTGCGTGGGTGTGCACCTGCCCTCACCACTCCCTGACCGCGTGACCATCACTGTGTCCTCCTCTGTAAATCGGGAGGTGGCAGCCCCTGCTTGGGAAGGGGCACACCCAGCATCTGGTATATAATCAATGCACCATCCATCTCAGCGTTGTCTTTACTAATAATAGGGACAGCATTTAATAAGCTGCTCCTTTTTCTCTCGTGTGTCTTAACTGTGGTCCAGACCACATCTGTTTTACTTACCCCTGGGTGTATATCCCACACCCAGCACAAACAAGATACTGTACAAATATCTGGCTGAAGAGGCAGGAACATACCCTGTCCTCAAGGAGGTGAAGCCGAGAGAGATGGGGGCCTGATGCTCATGCTGGGTGATGAGGAGACCCCAGGAGGACCTGTGTGACTGTGGGGGTCGTGGGCAGAACCCCTGAGGAGCTCCTGGGGACGAGGAAGGTGGCAGGAAGGAGGAGGAGGGCTGCTCCTCGTGGGATGTGCACAGATTGGACCTCACCCCTCACTGATGAGCACTTAGGCCGTTTCCAAACACTTGTCAGTGTTCTGGAGGAGTCAATCATTGCCCAGCTCCTACTCAATCAACTTCATAGAATATGTTTCTAGCGTTGGAGTATAAACATCTGCTTTATTCATTCCATGCTTCGTTCATCCACCCATCGAGCCAGCCATCTCTTCAACCATCCATACACTCACTAGTCCATATTCCACCCACTCACGAATTCTGTCGACCCATCAAGCCAGTCATCTGTTCATCCATCCATCCACTCACTAATCCATCCATCCATCCACTCACTAATCCATCCATCCATCCCTCTAGACATAATTCATCCACACATCCACTCATTAACTCATCAGATCATCTTGGACCCACCAAGAAGACGGATGCCTCCTCCACTCTTGCTCCCAGGAGGACCCCGAGTGTGAGTGACAGGAGCCTCGTGGGGCAGGGGGGGAGACACAGAAGGGACAAGCCTGCAGGTTCTCTTCCCTCTCAACGGGGAAGCACCCACCTGGTCCTAAGGCCTCCTTGCCGGGTGTCCAGGCTGGCCCTTTTCCTTCTTTCCAAACAAGCGGCCGATGCACGACTTGATGCCCTTCTTCGGGGCTTTGTGCAGCGAGTCCTGGCTGATGGTGCTGCTGCTGGGGTTGCCCCCGGGGCCGTCCTGAGAGCCGGTCGAGATTCGGGGAGCGAGAAGGACCTTTAACCAGCGGCCTCGTGCAAACACACACCCCTCCTCAAGATCTACTGTTAGAACCGGCCACCCAGCAACACCCGCGCCTCAACCTCAAGCACACAGTGGAGGCTGCTTCACCAACCACACTCCACACAAGCAATGCAGGCTCCCGGCCACAGACATCCGCCCCAGGAAGCTGAGAGTCTCCGACTGGAGCCCCCCCCCCACCCCGGGGAGGGCTTGACTCCAGGCCAGCTGGTGCAGAGGGTGCTCCGACCCTCCCTCAGGTTCGCCGCTTGGCAGGTGACGAGGCTCCCAGAGAAGGCAAGCTCCCCCGCTCCGGGCAGCTCCACCCCACCTCTGCAGGGTGGCCGTCCCCGGCCGTGGCAGGAGAGCTGCTGCACAGGAGACCACACGTGCCCTCCATCGAGTGCTGCCTGGCTGAGGACGGGAGCTCAGCAGGCGGTGGTCTGAATGAGGACAGTGTCAGTCACAGGAGGGGATGGAGTCTCCTGAGAGGAGACCCTTGAGGAAAAGGGAGGGACCCTCAAGAGGGAACACGAGAGGCACGGGGCCATCACCCTCGGGAACGCGCCCTGGGCGGGGCAGACCTCTAGCAAGAGCAGGAAGAAAGCTCCCACAGCGGGGTCAATCCGTAGAGATGGACGTTTTCTAAAATCAGTGAGGCCACTGAGCTCTTCTCCCACAGCACCTGAAGTTCACCACTAAACACAGGCACCGAACCCAGTGGGATTCCTTTAAAATCATCCTTCTAACTCTTTCAAGAGAACAGGTGCAGGGCTCCTGAAACTGACGACGAGGCGCGCAGACCCCTTACTTGCAGGTGTCCCTGACGTCCTCTGGGCTGGCTGCGCGCAGCACCCCCGTGTGCAGCCGGTCCAGCCAAAGGGACCGCGGCGAGGCAGGGCTCGAGGCTTCACATTGGATGGCAGTCTTGTCATCTTCTACCTCTTCCATTAAAGCTGGCAGCTGAGTGAGACAGGTGTAAAATGGCAGTGTAAAACTGGCTAATGATAGACTGTGTTGAAAAAGGCAACCTCACAGGCTTTACATTATAACCAGAAACTTATTTGTAAATCTATTTGCTATGCTTTCCTCCAAGTAGCAAAAAACAAAAACAAAAACAAAAAACCCTTGTTCCAGCTTAGTGCCATCTTACAGGACTGTCTTGTTCAAGAGAAGCGGGGCATGGGGCAGCGAGAGCACCTGACTGAGTGCAGACACCCTGGACGGGAGCCTCCCTGAAGCCGGGCTCCGCCCTCCCTGGAATCCAGCGACCAGATGGCCCCGCCGGGCAGGAGAGCAGAGTGACGCCAGCACCGTGAACCCTGCATGGCATGAACTGCCCTGAAGAAAGGACTCTGCTCATCGCCAGATGCTGCTTCCACTAGCAAGAGGAAGAAACCTCTCAGCAAAGCCGTCCAGACCTCTCTGTTTGAAGAAAAAAAGGACACAGCTTGTGCCACCACCCAAGATCATTTGTTGTCATGATGCAGCCTACTGGAACCCAGGACAACAAGGGAAAGACAGAAAAGGTACCTAACCCGGCATGCGAACACCACGTGACTGGCTCATATTTCTCAGTAACGGACAGACTGGGGGCTACACGCTGAAGTGCTCCCTCGCAGTCCGAGTGTACTTTGCTCACTGTGGTTTACATAAAGCACCCCTAGGTCTTCACTAAGAGATGACCTTGTATGAGACTAGAGGGGTGGGATGGGGAGGGAGATTCAAAAGGGAAGGGGTATATGTATACCTACGGCTGAGTCATGCTGAGGTTTGCCAGAAAAGAACACAATTCTGTAAAGCAATTATCCTTCAATTAAAACATAAACCAATTGAAAAAAAAAAAAAACATGTTTCTCCTGGAGTCCCAGCTTTTCCGCTGGTCCTGGGTGTGAGGACAGGAGAGACAGTGGTGGTAACAGTGTGGGGAACAGATTAACCCCTTCAGGGTCCAGACAGGTCTCACTAGTACATTTGGGTGTGTGGTTAAGCCTGGGGAAGTTTCAGGAAACATGCATGGCAAGTATTTTTGTAAACAATGAGTGTGTTGTTTTAACCAACTAACCTGTGCCTTTTTAGTGGGATTCTCTAAAGAATACTGATCCACTGCAGCCCCACAGGAGCTTGGTGACAACAAAGTGACTTAGTGCAAAATACAGCTGAGCCCGTTTAACAGCAGCTGGATAAACTATGCACCCTCCCCTGATCTCCAACAAGAACCCTCAGACAACAGAAGGCTACAGAGGCTGGAAATGATCCCCACGGAACTGAACAGGGATCAGTCTCAAATTCAAGTTACAATAAGCCTTTATAAAAATCAGAAAACAACAAAAACAGAGTGGGAAATGACACGCCTGGGCTGACCGTGGACTCAGGGGAGACAAACACCTGCCTCAAAGTCAGGGACCGCAGCCAGCCCCTTCCTTCCCCGGGCCTCCTCCTGAGGAAGGCCTCTGGGTCCCCAGCCTGGCCGCCCGCCCCCAGGAGGGAAGCCCGCCACCCTGGTGCCCATGTGACTAGGATGGGCAGGACCGTGTCCTCACATAACAGGAGGGCACAGCAGGCCACAGAGCTGGTGAGCAGCACACCCAGGTCACCAGCCCCAGGGCACAGTGCTGCTCCGCAGTGCCCAGCAGAAGGGCTCCCGGGCACTGAGCTGCCTGAACTGGAGCGCGGCTGCCCGAGTCCTGCGGGAAGGTCCCAGGAGTGGTCGGTCAGTGGGCTGGGAGTGGGAGAGGGACAAGGACGGCCAGCCTTCGGGGCACTGGACTCAACAACAGGGGCTCATCCAAGGGACCCGAGGGGAGAGGCAGCGAGCTCCCTCCTGATGCTCCCTCCATCAGGGATGCCGTGAGGGACACGAGGGCCTCTGGAGGAAAGCGGGCTGGACGGCAGCAGGGTTAAGTGTCCAGGCTCTCATCAGACCAGTCCGCACCACACTGCTGGCTGTGCGAGCCTGGGCACAGGGCCCGGCCTCTCTAAGCCTCAGTGTCCACATCTGCTGAATGGGGATGACAGCAGCCGGGACCTCACCTGGGTGTCTGCCAGATGAGATGACAGGCTCGGAAAGCACTCGACAAGCTGCCTGGTGCACAGAGGCTCCTGCACACTGCTACCCCCGTCATTAGACTGGCATCCCGCAAAGCTACCGCCTATGGCTCGGATTCAGCCGTTTCTTTGAATGGAAATTTCCACACTGAGTGGAAATTCCACTGTGGTCCAGACGTTAGGACTTGGCACTCTCACTGCCGGGACACCAGTCTGGTCCCTGGTTGGGGAATTAAGATCCCATAAGCTGTGCAGCATGGAAAAAAAAATAACTAAAGAAAATTTTAAAAATAATCCTTTGTCTATTATAAATAAGCATGAGTTGATTAGAAGGTAAACAAGTGGGAGAAAGGCAAACTGTTACAAGTGTCCCCGAATGACCTATTACCAAGAGAACCATCAGCATATTTCAACTGGTGGATGAGTTTCAAAACTTCCATTAGTGTCAATTATTCACCAGTACATAACCACATAGTGTTCATTCATGTAACATGATAAGGACTCTTTAATACTTCACAGAGAAACAAAGGCATGCTATATTATTAAATAGTTAACCTTTCGACGATGCTTCCTTAAATCACTAGGCTGAAAGGTGCATGCAAAGAAATGAACAGAAACCAGATGGATTGCAACTTTGATACTAAAAGTGCAAGAATTGTTACAGGCAAATACACTAAAGCAAACATGAAGGCAAACATATGTGAGATGAAGACTTAAGAGAACATGTAACTGGAAACAGAACATATTTTTTAACCACAGAAGTGAAATAAGCTATTCAAGGTTTACTAGAGAAACACTATAAATTATAACTCAGGAAGATACCATTCTATTACAATATCATGATTTATTAAAGCAGAGCATTCTGTTCAACAAAGGGTCTTAAGAGTTGTCTGTTCTCAGCCACAATTCGCTATAACTTAGTTTCTCTTAATAGAAAACACGTTATACTTTAAAGGAGTAATTTCACTGATTAGGAAGTTACCATAATACCTATTTTAAACCTGAACAAATCTAACCAACTATTGGACATTAATGTAAAATCCTTACCTAGAATTTGATATAAAACTTTTCAGAATAAATCCATTAAAGCAGGTATCCCACGAAAATTTGTAAGGAAAGCTAGCATAATAGCAAGTGGAATCTTCACATCTTATGAACCATAAATGATACTTTGTAAAAGAGTCTAGTAGAGACATTAAACATGCAAAAGCTGATGAGATTTACCGTCTAAACTCCAAGCATCAACACAGAAAGGATATTGGGTCAAAAGACCATTAATTATACATTTAGAGGATCATTTCTCCATGTAAGCATAATCTCACTTATGATTACACAGGTTATGTAGTGGATGATCCACCTACACAATGCTTCTAACTGTACAGTGATACACTCACTCTAACTTACTGCTATGCAGGAAAAACACCATCTAATGAGACACGAAGACAAACCACAAACCAGACTAACAGGACACAGCACTGATATGACCAGAGCAAGTGGGAGGATGGGGGAGGGGAAACGGATGTGTGAACTACAGCCTCCGTTGGGAGGGATGGGAGGCTGGGGTCTGGATTGATGACGGCTAAACAGACAACAGGATGAGTCAGGAAATCAAAACCAATGATGAAAGCAGACACACCGTCAGAAAACTCCACAAGGAAAAAATATTCAGGACTGCTCTTTCACAAATACTCGGAAAGAAATCAAGCATGAAACCACAGAGAAATCGTCCAAGAATTTTAAATATCAACGACTTAGACAATGATACAAAGTATAAAAGCAGCGTGTCAAAAGACCACAAAATGGACCAGGTACCACTTCACATGCAGCTAAAATGACCCACATTTATTTTAATTCTATGCTAACAACACAGCTAACATGAAATGGGTGGTAACAGAAAAAAGGGATAATACAAGTGCAGTTTCAAGGCAGAGTGTTGTACACATGATTCAAGGGGTAAACAGCAATGCACTCAGAAACCTAGGCTACACAGGCAAGAAAGCTGGCACATGTGCTTTAGAGCTGCACACTCTGTCACCAGAAGCCCTAGGTCGTCATCCCGTGTTGAGACGCGGAAGAGTGAGGCAGCCCGACTTCTTCCCTGGGGCCCTGGGGCCCCGGGGCCTTTAAATGGTTTCACGTGCACAGCTGGCCTGAGCACATGGCAAGGCCCGTCAGCAAGCGGACCAGTTCAGATTCTTGGTTTTGTTGCCACCGCATGCCCTGAACCCTGCAGCCAGGCGACCCCGGTGGAACATGTGCTGCCCGGCTTTTACTCGCCATGAGGGCTGCCTGTGGTAACTTTCACGAGGCTGTCTGCTCCCTGACGACAGAAACTTCCCTGCCGCTGTTGTGCCCAGCACAGGCCAGGCCCACCGTTCCAGAGGCAGGCTCTGGCTGAGTTCACGATGGCTTGCTAAGCCGCTGGTCCAAATATCAAGACTGATTGGTCCCTGTGCCATTATGGAATGATTAAAGACCAGGCAGTTTCACAAGTCTTAGACTTCTGAGCGTAGCAAATGTACCTGATTTTCTCTGGGGAAAAAGAGAAAAAACAGAGAAAGAAAAACAGTGTGCTTGGGGAGGCATGTGGCAGGGAAGAGGCAGGCATATACCGGAGTCATGACGTCCAGCTGGTCTCCCTCGCACGCCAGGCTGTGCCACCTCCTTCGGGGACGGGAGCGCTCCCTGCTGGGCGGGCAGGAGCCAGCAAGTGAGGAGGCAAGACACAGGTTGAGGGAGCTCAGTGACTTAAAACGCTGGGAGTTTCTGGTTGGAGGCCATTTGCTGGCTCCTGTTTTGGGTCGTCTGTTCTCCCAGAGGCTCCTGGAGCCGGCCACCTGGACTGCGCCGCACGTGGGCTTAGAAGGCCAAACGCCCCTGGCCCTGGGACAGCCTCTTCAATCGAGGGGAAGCCGGCCTGGTGCGAAGATCATGTCCTCTTAATTTGGCCATGCACGACCCTGGTTTGGTCTTTCTTCTTTTTTCGGGAGAAGGGCTTTCCTTTGTGGAGACATGGAACTGCCCCCACAGCCCCTCCTCCAAACCTCCCCTCCTTCGTCCCCCACCCCCAGCCCTGTTGGTAGTGTTGGTTAATGAGCTGGTTTGACTCACTAAGTCCTTTCATTTTGGGTCCCGGCTCCCAAGGGGTGGGTGATGCCAGGGACAACTCCTTTCTTGGGTGAATTTTTCATTTGAATCATGCAGCTTAGTCATCCCGTGGCGAAGGCCAGGGCAGCTGCAGGTGCCCACTGTCAACAGCCTGCCTCCCGGGCAAGGTGGGGCTGCCATGCCTGGGACTGAGCTGGTGCCCACCTAAGGGCTCAGGCTCCTGCCAATGCCCATGGCATTTGCCCTGCAGAGCTGCAGGGGTTGGGGCGGGGGTGATGTCAGGGATCAGGGTGATGTGGTAATGATGCACCCCTCCCCTCACCCCGTTGATTTAAAGCTGTTTCCAAACAGTTGAGTCTCTCCTGAAGACGAAGCCTTGTCCCGAAAGGCCCACTGAGACAGCTGGATCTTGGAGACAATTACGAGCTGGGAGCCCAACTCCTGACTGCCTGCTGATTCTGCCACTGATCATTTGCAGCTGCTTGTTTCGGTCTCCACCTTCAACCCCAGTGGCTGAAAAAGCCCATGATGTGTCGCTTAATTTTCTTTCTGATTCTCCCAGATCGGTGGCTGGGGACTTGGGAGAGGACCCAGAGAAGGGAGCTAGCCACCTGCAATCCCTCTGGCTTTGGGGAACAAAGACTGATGTGAAGGCCCACAGAGAATTCTCTCTTCCAGTCTCAACCCCTTCAAGGGTGGCTGGAAGGGGAGGCAGGGGGCCGTTTTACATAGGATTAGCTTCCAGGTGGCTGCCATTTCAGCACAAGCAGTACTGAAATTCACATAAAAAAGAGAGAGCTGTGAAACTGAGGTCCGGATTTAATAGGCCCTGCAGCGAGCCTGCGGGCCCGTGGTGCTTGCGAGAACGAGGGCCTGCCCCAAGCTGGGAGCATGGGCCTCAGCTGCGCCCCGAGGCTCATGCTGAGCTGCTCCCAGCACCGCAGGCCAGATTTACCTGCCGCAGGGCTGGAAGGAACCTGGCGGGGACCTCGCGTGCAGCGCCTCTTCTCCACGGGAGTTGTCACACAGCCTGTCTCTGCAGATCCTGCTGCCGTGTGGGACCCAAGGTAGGCGGCCGGTGGGGGCGTCGGGGCCCCGGCAGCATGGGAGGGTTGGGGGGGGTGCTGTTGGGGGGCCGAGTGTCAAGAGCCGGGACCCAGGGGTCTGGAGTTGCTCCTTCGTGGGCCTTGCCGGGCCTGACACTGAGGGAAGGCGCACTCGCGGGATTGCAGTTTTGTGTGTTTCCTTCTCTCTCTCCATATTTATTTTTTTAATTTATGGAGGCGGTGCAAATTTCAGGAATGGTTGGGGACTAAAGAAAGAACTCTCTAGCTCCATCCATGTGAAGCCTGGCGAGGTCTGCTCCTCTGCACTGGTCATCAGCATTGTGTAAAGAGACTGATACACTTGAGTGTGCAAGCAATGAAGCCGTTCGACATGCTGCTACGAAGACTAATTTGAGCACAATTTTAAAAAAAGGGAAAAAAACTAACCTACAAAAAAAAACCCCACCCTTTATTCTTTAATTGTTGCTTTTACAGTGATATTGTGCATGCAAACTAGGAGCATTTTGTGTCTTAAGAAAAATAATCTGAGAACAGATGGCTGTGAAAATTACACCCGTGCACAGAACAAGTCACAGGAATAATAGTTCAGAATTTGGTTTTTCTCTTTTTTCTTGTAAAACCTGAAGGGTTGATATATTCTTTCCATACAGTTATTAGAACTTAGTTTTGTTCTAGCAGTTGTGAAACTTGCAATGAAAAGGAAATGTGCCATTTTTTTTGCCCACTTGGAACTATTCTTAGCTGTATATTTGAAACTGCTAATAACACACGAGCGACTTATGCTGGTTTTTTAGTGCAATTTCTTCTGTAGCTATTCTTTGACCAAACTGTGGGTATTGTTAATATTAATTTATATTTGTCTCATTTTTGTATGTATGCATAGCGTGGTTGTAAGTATGTGTGGTTTATAATCTAAAAAGGTCATAAAGCTCAGTTTGGCTGTAATTTAATTCCCTTCTCTTTATTTTTATTTATTTTTGTACTGTGCTGATTAAATAAAATGCACTGACCAAAAAAAAACAAACAAACAGACAAAAAAAAACGCCAAAGGCTGCAGAAGCGTGCTCCGCCCACCCTGCTCTCAGTCTCCTCGGCCCGCTGCTCCATGCTCTCCCTTTCCTCCTGGAGCCACCTAAAAGAGACCAAAACTCGTGAGCTGCCTTTGTCAGCACAGCATCGTGTCTGGACAACAAATTTGGGCTGGCATTCTGTGTCACAATGAGCAAATTCCAGGAATATCTGCTCATTTCACATCTCGGCTAAAAGGTTCGACTTTCCCTCTTTTGAATATTCTCAAACTTGGAATAACTTGGCACTGAGTCTTACAAACTGGCCCCTGGTCATTCACGTTTGATTTGACTCGTTTACGCTAACATTCTGACGGGGCCTGTGTGGCGACTCTCTCCCTGTGAGGAGATACCTGAAGCTGACAACCTTAACCTTCCCTGCTCTCAGGGCAGAGGTGCACGTCAGTGCCTCAAGTCTTCTCCACTGGGAATCGGGAACTCTCTATAACCAACACAGCGATTCACAAACAAGCTGGAGTTTCTAAACAAAACTCCCCAGACCAGATGAAGTGCTGAGGGGATTTTTACTTTTTTAAGGATGTATGTGTAACAACGCATCACTTGATGAAATTCTCCACCAGCTGTGTGTGAGTTTCTGGATTCATGTCAATCTGCCGCATTAACCTAGAATTCACGCTTACTGTTCTTCTCCCCTAATGTGTAGTGGATGATTTTATATAGCAGTTGAAATACACAATGATGCCTATAAAATGAATTCCAAATTAAAACACGGGATTCCTGCAGGTCATAACATCTTCAGCTTCATTCTACGTAAAAGTCTTGAAAGTTTTTCACTTGTGATAGCAAGCTGATGGACACAATTTACTATTCATAAAAGAAGTCAACTTACTGCCTAAGGAAAATTCACTTTACCTGAAAACTTGCTGTAATAAAAAAATATTAATATGCAACCGTTCCATATTACCTGCGGGGACAGGGAAAGCCCATCTTTCTGAGCTAATCTGAGCTGAAACAAGGCCAAGGAGGCAGTCTGTCTCGGCATCAAAAGTGCAGGTGGCACCACCTGCATTTGCTGGCTGTGCCATTCTCGGCTACCCTCCCCCCGAGCCCCACGTGCTCGGCACTGAGGACCGGGCATCTCGGCCTGGGCTGACGTGAAGACAACAATCTGAGCAGCGCCTCTGCCTGGTCCTGCACATGGTCACCGGCCTGTGACCGCTCTGGACGTGGAACCGGGACAGGGGCTCAGCTGTGCGGGTGTGGCCCAGGCAGGCCTCGGGGACCCCGGACACCCAGCTACACCCAGACCCAAGACCTGCTGCTCATCACCAGGCGGACCTTTGCCTTCTATCTCGAGCTGTAAACTGTTACAACTGAGAAGACAGTGTCTAAAGAAAATATCTTAAATATCCTGATGAGATGAAAAAAGCTCAAACACATGTTTTGGGCCACTGTCTTACAACAAGCCAATCTTCACACTGTATTAACTTGAAAAGGACAATGCAGATCTGAATGCGAATTTGCCAACACCAAACCCCTGCTTTTCTGTTCCAGGTAGCTTTTCACCAGAACGTGGGAGTCTCCGATGGACACGGGAGGGTGAACTCTCAGTGCTGGAGGGCACACGGGACGCAGAGGACACTGCGTCAGCACCTCACCCAACTTGGGGCTCAGAGCTGGGGGGGACACCCCACAAAGCCCCCCACAGAGTGCTGACACAAGCTGTGGACAGAATGGCCTGCCTGTCTGAGCTCTCTCATCAAGGGTGGTCTGAGAACTGAAAATCCTTGAAGCAGGCCTGAAGTCAGTTTTCTCACTATGGAACACTCAAGACTTCTCGTAGGAGAAGACAGCTCCTCAGAGAAGCCCAGTTTCTGGGGAGCCGAGTTCGGGCACACCCACCGGGTCTCCTCACTGATGGTGTCCAGCTGCTCCCGAGGCATCACAGGCAGAGTGTCGGCATCGGCCTGCCCACTGGGCGGCAGCTGACCGGCCGAGCTGAAGAGGGTGACCCTGTCGCCCTCGCCGTCAGACACATCCTCGTCACTCTCGAAGTCCTGGGCCATGGTGGCCACCACGCGGGTCTGCTGCGCGGACTCCCAGTCCTGCTCCCTCTGGCTCTGCACCTGGGCATGAGAGGACCACGGCTGGTCAGCGACATTCAGGACAGCTCACGTCTATCAGGAACCGAACACAATTTTACATGGAAGCCCGACTTTGGATAAACGGCCATGCCTATGAGACACTGCCATCTCTTAAGCAAGCAGTACTGAAGAAATGGGCAGGAGGAGAATCCAGTTACTAGATGGCCTGCTGACACTCAGGTCAGCGTGGACGGAAGGCAATCCTATCAGGTTATTCACAAGAGTGCGCTGACGGAGTCAGGGACAAAAACGCAAAATTGCAAACATACATCCATGCCTCCATCAGGCAGGCTGAAGGAAAATAAGAAGGAAAAAATCCTTCCGCTCTGCAGCCGCTGGGTCCGCCTCAGCGGTCGTCACTTGTACTAGTTCCCCGAGGAGTGCCGTCCTCCCAGGTTCCCAGCCCTACGTGTTCCAGGCTGGCCCGAACACGCAGAGAGAGGAGCGAGCAGGGGCAGCCAGGGAACTGGAGGGCCAGCCCTCCGCGGCTGTCCTCTCGGGGCACAGGCACTCGGGCTCTGCTGGGGGATAGCCCCTCGCACCGCAAGGGCGGCTCTGCCATCAGAGACGCACGGGAGAGTGCCTGCTGGGCCCTGTGCTGCCCTCCCGCTCTCACACCTCACACCCTTCTCTCTGCAAATCTCCCCCCTGTCCGACTCTCAACCCAGGTCCTGCCTTCTTTCCCACACATGACCTCAAAGCAACTGAGGGGCAGCCTCGAGGTGCTGGCTGCCGGCTACCTGGCCCCCGTGGCCAGAGCCCTCGCCCCCTGACTTCCTCACAACCCCTCCCCAGGGCTGGGCTACCCCCTTCGCTGGCAGCAAGACCACCTGCCACCATCCCTGCTCCCCTCCAGCGCACCAGCTGCCTATGGGTTCACCCCTAGCAGCCCGGTCAGCACATCCTCTCGCTTCTCTCGCCTTCAAATGGCACAACGGGAACCAGCAGACTCCTCCTCCAGGGCACTCTGCAGTGCCCACTGGGGGTCTCTGAAGGCTGCCTGGGAGAGGCATCTGCTGTCCATACAGTGTATGATCCATCTTCATTATGCTTTTAACTGTATAGTGGTGCACTAACTCTAACTTACTGCTATGCAGGAAAAACACCATTTAATGAGACACGAAGACAAACCACAAACCAGACTAACGGGACACAGCACTGATATGACCAGAGCGAGTGGGAGGATGGGGAGGGGAGATGGATGTGTGAACTACAGCCTCCGGTGGGGGGGATGGGAGGCTGGGGTCTGGATTGATGACGGCTAAACAGACAACACGATGAGTCAGGAAATCAAAACCAATGATGAAAGCAGGCACACCGTCAGAAAACTCCACAAGGAAAAATTATTCAGGACTGTTCTTTCACAAACACTCCGAAAGAAATCAAGCATGAAGCCACAGAGAAATGGCCAAGAATTTTAAATATCAACGACTTAGACAATGATACAAAGTATAAAAGCAGTGTGTCAAAAGACCACAAAATGGACGAGGTACCACTTCACATGCAGCTAAAATGACCCACATTTATTTTAATTCTATGCTAACAACGCAGCTAACATGAAATGGGTGGGAACAGAAGAAAGGGATAATACAGGTGCAGTTTCAAGGCAGAGTGTTGTACACGAGATTCATGGGGTAAACAGCAATGCACTCAGAAAACTAGGCTACACAGGCAAGAAAGCTGGCACATGTGCTTTAGAGCCGCACACTCTGTCACCAGAAGCCCTAGGTCGTCATCCCGTGTTGAGACGCGGAAGAGTGAGGCAGCCCGACTTCTTCCCTGGGGCCCTGGGGCCCCGGGCCTTTAACTGGTTTCATGCGCACAGCTGGCCTGAGCGCGTGCGGCAAGGCCCATCAGCAAGCGGACCAGTTCAGATTCTTGGTTTTGTTGCCACCGCATGCCCTGCACCCTGCAGCCAGGCGACCCCGGTGGAACATGTGCTGCCCGCCTTTCACTCGCCATGAGGGCTGCCTGTGGTAACTTTCACGAGGCTGTCTGCTCCCTGACGACAGAAACTTCCCTGCCGCTGTTGTGCCCAGCACAGGCCAGGCCCACCGTTCCAGAGGCAGGCTCTGGCTGAGTTCACGATGGCTTGCTAAGCCGCTGGTCCAAATATCAAGACTGATTGGTCCCTGTGACATTATGGAATGATTAAAGACCAGGCAGTTTTAAAACTCTTAGCCCTCTGAGCATAGTAAATGTACCTGATTTTCCTCTGGGGATAAAGAGAAAAAACAAAGAAAGAAAAACAGTGTGCTCGGGGAGGGATGTGGCAGGGAGGAGGCAGACACATACCGCAGTCATGATGCCCAGCCGGTCTCCCTCGTGCGCCAGGCTGCGCCGCCTCCTTCGGGGTGGGGAGGGCGCCCTGCTGGGCGGGCAGGAGCTGGCAAGTGAGGAGGCAGGACACAGGTTGAGGGAGCTCAGGGACTCAAAACGCCGAAGGCTGCCTAAGCGCGCCCTGCCCGCCCTGCTCTCAGTCTCCTCGGCCTGCTGCTCCGTGCTCTCTTCCTCTTGGATCCACCTAAAGGAGAGCAAAACTCGTCAGCTGCCTCTGTCAGCACAGGAACCTGTCTGGACAGCAAATTTGGGCTGGCATTCTGTGTCGCGATGAGCCAATTCCGGGAACATCTGCTCATTTCACATCTCGGCTAAAAGGTTCGACTTTCCCTCTTTTGAATATTCTCAAACTTGGAATAACTGAGCACTGAGTCTTACAAACTGGCCCCTGGTCATTCACGTTTGATTTGACTCCTTTACGCTAACATTCTGATGGGGCCCGAGTGGCGACTCTCTCCCTGTGAGGAGATACCTGAAGTTGACAACCTTCACCTTCCCTGCTCTCAGGGCAGAGGTGCACGTCAGGGCCGCAAGTCTTTGCCACTGCAAATCGGGAACTCTCTATAACCAAAACAGCGATTCATGAACAAGCTGGAGTTTCTAAACAAAAGTCCCCAGACCAGATGAAGTGCTGAGGGGATTTTTCTTTTCTTACGGTTGCATATGTACAAATGCATCACTTGATGAAGTTCTCCACCAGCTTTGTGCGAGTCTCTGGATTCATGTCAATGTGCCGCATTGACATAGAATTCACCCTTACTGCTCTTCTGCCCTAATGTGTAGTGGAGGATTTTAAATAGCAGTTGAAATACTCGATGATGCATATAAAATGACTTCCAAAATAAAATACAGGATTCTTGCAGGTCATAACCTCTCCAGCTTCACTTCTACCTATAAGTCCTGAAAGTTTTTCACTGGTTATAGCAAGCTGATGGACAGGATTTGCCATTTATAACAAGTCAACTTACTGCCTAAGGAAAATTCACTTTACCTGACAACTTGCTGTTCAAATAAAAATACTAACATGGAACCGTTCCATCGTTCCTGCGGGGATGGGGAAAGCCCATCTTTCTGAGCTCGTCTGAGCTGAAACAGGGCCCAGGAAGCAGTCTGTCTCGGCGTCAAAAGTGCAGGCGGCACCACCTGCATTTGCTGGGTGTGCCGTTCACCCCTGACTTTCCCCCGAGCCCCGCGTGCTCGGCCCGCAGGCACGGGCACCTCGGCCTGGGCTGACGTGACGAGAACAATCTGAGCAGCAGCTCTGCCTGGTCCTGCACAGGGTCACCGGCCTGCGGCCACTCTGGACGTGGACCCGGGACAGGGGCGTAGCTGTGCGGGTGTGGCCCAGGCAGGCCTCGGGGCCCCCGGACACCCGGCTGCACCCAGACCCAAGGCCCGCTGCTCACCACGAGGCGGGCCTTTGCCTTCTATCCCGTGTTGTAAACTGCTACAACTGCCAAGACGGTGTCTAAAGAAAACATCTGAAATATCCTGATGAGATGAGAGAAACTCAAACATATATCCTTGGACCACTGTCTTACAACAAGCCAATCTTCACACTGTATTAACTTGAAAAGGACAATGCAGATCTGAATGGGAATTTGCCAACCCCCAAACCCCTGCTTTTCTGTTCCAGGTAGCTTTTCACCAGAACGTGGGAGTCTCCGATGGACACGGGAGGGTGAACTCTCAGTGCTGGAGGGCACACGGGACGCAGAGGACACTGCATCGGTACCTCACCCACCTTGGGGCTCAGAGCTGGGGGGGACACCACACTACGCCCCCCCAGAGAGTGCTGACACCAGCTGTGGACAGAACGGCCTGCCTGTCTGAGCTCTCTCGTCAAGGGTGGTCTGAGAACTGAAAATCCTTGAAGCAGGCCTGAAGTCAGTTTTCTCACTATGGAACACTCAGACTTCTCATAGGAGAAGACAGCTCCTCAGAGAAGCCCAGTTTCTGGGGAGCCGTGTTCAGGCGCACCCACCGTATCTGTTTGTTGATGGCGTCCAGGTGCTCCTGAAGTTTCACAGGCAGAGTGTCGGCATCTGCCTGCCCACTGGGCAGCAGCTGACCGGCCGAACTGAAGAGGGTGGGCCCATCACCTTCGCCATCAGGCACATCCTCGTCAGTCTCGAAGTCCTCGGCCACGGTGGCCACCACGCGGGCCTGCTTTGCGGACTCCCAGCCCTGCTCCCTCTGGCTCTGCACCTGGGCATGAGAGGACCACGCCCTGTCAGCGACATTTAGGACAGCTCACGTCTATCAGGAACCGAACACAATTTTACATGGAAGCCCGACTTTGGATAAGCGGCCATGCTTAGGAGACACTGCCATCTCTTAAGCGAGCAGTACTGAAGAAACGGGCAGGAGGAGAATCCAGTTCCTAGATGTCCTGGTCACTCTCAGTTCTTAGCGTGGACGGAAGGAAATCCTATGAGGTTATTCAAAAGGGTGGGCCGATGGAGTCAGAAACAAAAACGCAAAATTAAAAACATACATCCATGCCTCCAGCAGGCAGGCTGAAGGAAAACATGAAAGAAAAAATCCTTCAGCTCCGTAGCCAATAGGTCTGCCTCAGCGGTCATCACTTGTACTAGTTCCCCGAGGAGTGCCATCCTCACAGGTTCCCAGCCCTACGTGTTCCAGGCTGATCTGCACACTCACAAACAGGAGCGAGCAGGGCAGCCAGGGGACTGGAGGGCCAGCCCCCGCGGCTGTCCTCTCGGGGCACAGGCACTCGGCCTCTTCTGGGGGAGAGCCCCTCGCACCGCAAGGGCGGCTGTGCCATCAGAGACGCACGGGAGAGTGCCTGCTGGGCCCCGTGCCGCCCTCCTGCTCTCACACCCTTCTCTCTGCAAATCTCCCCCCTGTCCGACTCTCAACCCAGGTCCTGCCTTCTTTCCCAGACAGGACCTCAAAGCAACCGAGGGGCAGCCTCGAGGTGCTGGCTGCCAGCTACCAGTCCCGTGGCCAGAGCCCTCACCCCGTCTTCCTCACGACCCCTCCCCAGGGCTGGGCCACCCCCTTCACTGGCTGCAGGACCACCTGCCATCATCCCTGCTCCCCTCCAGCGCACCAGCTGCCTATGGGTTCACCCCCATCAGCCCGGTCAGCACATCCTCTCGCTTCTCCCACCTTCCGATGCCTCAACAGGAACCAGCGGACTCCTCCTCCAGGGCTCCCTGCAATGCCCATTGGGGGTCTCTGAGGGCTGCCTGGGAGCGGCTTCTGCTGTCCCTGTCCCACCTGCTCTCCAGCTCTCTGCAAGCAGGCGCTGTGCCCTGCCCTACCGGGCAGCTCCCTGGGAGCTGGAGGAGCCCATGTCACCAAGCCCACTCCCGTCCTTGCCCAGCCCGCCGCCCTCCAACATGTCTCTCCCTGGCTCTAGGCCCGGCCCTCCCTGGGGTTATTCCTCAGGCCCTTGCGCCCCTTTTCAAAGATAAATAACATCTGATGTCCACCACCACAGCCTTCATACTTTGTGAAAATGAAAGTATACAAATGACGAATCCTTAACTGAAATTACACGATGACTGATCAAACTTACCTCTCTGTGTTTGGTACTTAATTCCTCTTCTAAGGAACTACACCTTTGAAGTGTTCGTCGTAGTTCCTCTCTCAACTGAAATAAAAGGGGCCGAATCACTGTGTGTTGATCTGTGTACATACGTTAGTGCACTTCTTATTGTACCCTCACATGATTGCATGGTTACTGTAACAGAACACCTTTAATGTCTCTCATTGACCTTAAGGTGAAGAAAATCTGCTTACTAACGGCTTTAAACTCTAAGTTTCAGAATTTATCCTAAAAGAACTGTATTACCCAGTTTTTAATTGCAAATTGACAAACAGAATAAAATAAATCTTGAGACATTTATGCCAACTAATACTTTTTAACTGGGGGCTTCCCAGGAGGCTCAGTGAGAAAGAATCTGCCTGCCAGTGTGAGAGGGCAGGTTCGATCCCTGGGTTGGGAAGATCCCCTGGAGTAGAAGATGGCCACCCACTCTAGTATTCTTGCCTGGGAAGCCCCATGAAGAGAGGAGCATGGTAGTCTATGGTCCACAGGGTCGCAAAACTCAGACATGTCTGAGCATGTACACAGGCAACGCTTTTTAACCATATAAAACTCTGAGTTCTTACGGAAAAACTGTATTTACAAGAATTCAAGAAGCTCAAAAGTCAACTAGTTCCATAAACACACGCATCGTCCACCTAACCAGGCAGCAAGTGTACAAATCCAGGACGGCCGCGTGGCTGGTACCTTCTCGTCCAGGGCCTTGTGGTGCTCGAAGAGCAATCTCAGTGCCCTGAGGACCTCCAACTCGCTGGTCATGCTGGCTGGGGACCGCGCCTGATGCCTCTCCACCGTCATCTGGAGGGACGGCACGTACCGGGAAACCAGGAGCTCCAGGTGTTCCAGCAGCAGCTGCAAGGTGGGGCCAAAGGAGCACCTTCAACCTCACACTTGAATTCAGGGCCCAGAACGCCTCTCAGCCTCACGCTAAGACCGAAACCATGCTAAGGCATGTCGGAATCCCGCCAGTTCAGTCTAAAGTTAGAGTGGACTTCCCCAGTGGCCCAGGAGTTAACACTCCACACTTCTGCAGGGCTCATGGGTTTTAATCCCTGTGTGGGAACTAAGATCCCACACAAACTGCAGCATGGACAAAAATGGAAGCTAAGAGAACTCTCCCCTCAAATGTACTAAAATTACATTAGCTTTCATCATCAATTTGAAGCAAGGTGTGAGAAACCCGAACTGATCCACCTCGGTCTGCTCAGTGGGAGGATGTGAAAAATGACTTGAAAACCAGACTTTCAAGACAGCAACATGGAGACCAGCGGTGACCCCTGCGGGGCACAGGTCAACACGTGAGACTCCGCCTACTGACCCTGGTGTTGTTCCTTTCTGCTTTTAGTTCCGAGATTTCTGCTTCTCTTCTAAGAAGCTGCTCCCTGCATGCTTTTAGCTGTCGACATGCCAACTCCTAGAAAACAGGTCAATGAGGAAGTAAATAAATGCAAACACAAATGTTAAAGAGAGCGAGACTCTGAAGACTGACACTGTCCAGTCTCTCCAGGCTCCACTCAAAGGATCTCCCTGCCCCTCCGGAGAAGAGGGGGCCCACTGACCCCAAGACCACACAGACCCCTACAACTCAGACTGGCCTGCAGCCTCCACCTCGACCTGGCAGGCACGTGGCAGGGGAGAACCCGGAATCCAAGCCTGTGCGGTAGGGGAGAACCCGGAATCCAAGCCTGCCTTCTCAAGACGCAGGGAAGTCTGAGAGACTTTCCTAAACATACACTTAAGAACAAAGTGGATAAAGAGATTCTTAAACGACACACAGACAAGTGACCGAGAGCCCCTGGGGAGAGTGAAGAAGAAAGGTAAGGTCTTCAAGGCCACCAGGCTTTGGAGTGTTCCTCTGGGAAAGAGGCTGATGGCACCCCAAGGCCGTCTGTTAGCCTGACTCCACTGAAGTCACCCAGTCATTCAACGAACTGCTTAAAATGGTAAATTCATGTTATATGTATTTTATCACAATATGCACATACGCGGGGCCGTCCACGTGGTGAACTTGCTCAAACCGAACCACACGGACTCTTTCATTCTTCTATTGTTCTTTGCACAAATACAAAAATCCTGGGCTATGTCTCCCCTACTACATACTAAGTATTCAGCACCTAGAGCACTGCCCAGCACTTTGTAAGAGGCATGTAGTAGACATGTGAGGCTGTGAGGGTGTGTGTCATACACAGGAGCAGTAGGCACCCGTCATTAGAACACCGGGCGCACTGCTCTGGGCTTTGGACGATGGCAGACGTTAAGGGGCTCAGCCTTTCTGCTCCAAGGACTGACTCTCTAGCTCGACCCACACGCCCCAGAGACTCCTCCAGCCAGTGGATCCCTTGTTTGGAAGAAGAGAGACTTTAAGGGGCTTAGCCTTTCCTTTCCGCTCCAAGGACCGACTCTAGAGCTCAGTCCACGTGCCCCAGTGACTCCTCCAGCCCCTGTTCCCCTTCCTGTGGGGCCCCCGCCCATTGTCCACGCAGCATCTGCACGGCCTCTTACAAGGTCAACCTGCTGGGGTCCATCCTGCCCAGGAGGCCAGAACGCCTTGGCCGGCAGGGCCCACGAGCATGCGAACAAAGTAAAACACAACCCCAACTCTTTGCCGGGTGAGGGCCAACCCGACGGGCCCATCCCCCGGCTGCTCTCACCTCCGGGCACTCTGCTTCCACGACTTGGGATGAGGCCAACTTATTTCTTGTCTTGGCCTTTTTCTTGGGGTTGCAGCATGGGAAAAGTGCCCATAGGATGGCCCTTCTGCGACCCATCCTCGCGGATGGGGGCAGCCCCCCACTTGGGGGCACCTGCTGTTTCTCAGGCAGATCCCTAAGTGCCTGAGGTATCACTACCGATCTCACACTATGACCACTGCTCTCACACACCGCTCTCACACACACCACTCTCACACACACCACTCTCACACACACCACTCTCACACTGCTCTCACACTATGACCACCAGCTCCGCTATCTCAAGAAGAAATGACACGAAGGCTCTGCCTCCAGCACGTCACCCGGGAGCCCGGATCATGAAAGCCACTCTGTCACAAAGGGCTCCATGGTAACAGGGGGGCTGGGCTCCGGCCCACCATCAAGGGTGCAGAGAGTGGGGAGGGGCTGCCAAAAACATGGCAGGTGTGTGTTGGGTGCGGGAGAAGGAAGGCCGTGCCCACAGCTCAGGCCCACCATCAAATGTCACCCTGCAAGGTCACTGGGTCACAGTCAAACCGAACAGTATAAACTGCTTCAGAAACCACCACCGCTAGGGATGAGCACGTCTTCTAAGTGGGCTTCTGCTTCTTCCACCCCCGAAACAAGCCTGCAGTGAGGCTACTGAAAGGGCACCCCTGAACTCAAGGGTGTGCCCAGAACCCACATGGCTGAGGAGGACTCCCCGCACTGGCTGCCCCTCACTCTCACCCTGAGCTTGGTCCTCCCTGACTGGCTCCCTCACTTGAGCTCAGCAAGGGCTTGACCAACCTTGCTCTGGGCGCTTACAATGAACCCAGAGTGGGGACAGGGGTTCATTCAACCTGCTGTGAGCTCACCTTCTTAACTTCAACCCTGGGCCGCCAGACGACTCGGCCCCATGGGGACTGCATGGTGCAGGTTCAGGGGTGGCCCTGCCTCAAGCCGTGACAGCCAGCACCTCCCAGATCCCTCCAGGGGCTGCCCCGCCCTCCACGCGCAAGTCTCCCACCCCCTCTCCTGACCCCACTCCCAGCCTCGCGGCTCTCCACACACCAGGGCATAGCCCACACTGCTCCTGGCTCAGCCTGGTCCTCTGCGGTCACTTGAGGACTCAGTCCCCGGGGTGCTTGAGGTCCTATATCCGCCTATCTCAGCAATGACAGACTCTGGGGAGACAGGGTACAGTTTGGGGTCCCACCCGCAGTGCACCCTGAACACGGTCTCTTTTTTTTTTTTTTTGCTTTATCTACTGCAGTTCTCTGAGACGTCTTTTGAAAACCTCAACTGTGGCTTTCAAAAAGACTGTAAAATCACTGTGCTCAACTTGAAGAATAAAATCTTCATTTTCAACCTTAAAGTGAAACTGGAGGGAAGATTAAAAGCAGTCATTTTTCAAACTGAAAAAGAAAACCCACAGGTGACCCCATCACACAACAGGTCACGCAGCCCCGCTCTCCTCAGCTTCTCCTCCACCACCAGCAGCCCGTCATCGCAAGGCCTGCCCTGGGCTGGCAGGCGCAGGGGAAGCAGGCACACCGGCTCTTCCGTCCCCAGGCTGCGTGGGCTGCTTGCTCCACCTTCTTCCCAAATTCAAGTGGCACTGAAAGAGCATGGGCAAGCTGGGGATTCTGATCCGAAACACAACCGTGGGTACTAAGCAAGGACCCCTGCCTCTTGTTTTCCCGGTATCAAATAAAGATGATCAGTATAATTAGTGTGATGCTTACATGTGGCTTCAGATGAGAGAAGACACCCAGAGCTTCCCCACGTCCAGTTACAAACGCAAGCAGCTTGTAGGTCAGCCTACCCAGAGCTAGAAAAGCTAAATACATTTTAAAAGAGGTCCTCAGGCAGCCACAATCCAAGATCTCAAGCAAAAGGGAAGCCCAGTGAGGCAGCTGGAGACTGAGAGGCCGCTCCTTCCCCCGGGACATCTGAACAAAGCTGACTCTGCAAAGAAAAGGCGGGGGAACGTCCAGCAGAGGGGACTGGCTGACACAGCTCTGGACAGCTCCTCGGACTGGGAAGACAAACATATGAGCGTAGGCCTGACAAGTCAGTCCTGATGGTAGAGACCAGTCTCCCTAAGAAAAGTTAGGCACAGAAAACGTACCCAACACCCTGCCCAAACTGGCTGAGCACTGAGTATCAATCACCTCGTGGTCTTCAGGAGGTGGACGGTGGGATTCAGGACCTGCCTAAAAGGAGGGGCCCTGGGAGGCACCCCAGGCTTCCAGATGGAGATGCTGGAGGGCTCCTCCCTGGGGTCGGGTGAGGGGGGCGGGGAAAGTGGGTGAAGGCTGCTGAGACTCAGCTCACAAGGACCCCCTAGCCTCAAGTCACTCAGGCCCTGAGCGAACACAGAGCTCTGTCCCCACGAGAGGTCTACGTCAGAGGAAAGCCTGGAGAAGACAGCATCACTCAGCACCTCTAGGGCTTTCCAAACGTAGTACCCAACATGCAAACAACAAACCAAAAAAGGGTGTAACAACAAACAGGACCAACAGAAAAAGAACTGAAACAGATCCAGAGGGATCAGATGCATATCAGCATATCAGAGGTATGCTAGATGTATCAATTGCAAATGTCACCAGTTCAAAAAATATACTTGACCAAAGAAAAAATTTCTGAGAATCAAAACGGATGCTACAACTATAAAAAAAAACAGTGACGGAATTTAAGAACTCAGTCTCTGGGATTAACATCAAATTAGAAATAGCTGAACAGAGGATCAGTGAACTGAAGGATGGATCAGTTACAAATATATATATGACGGAAAAGTATAGAATATATTGAAAGAACCTGTTGTTAAACTATGTTGTTAAAGATATAAATGGGTCCCCTTATGAGGGAGAAAAGACAGAAAGGGGAATAAGAAATGCCTCCAGGAGTTGGAACTAAACAGCCTATTGATGAAAGTGTAAGAGAAGAGTGAAAAAGATGGCATACAATTGAGCATTCAGAGCTAAATCACAGATTTGTCAGTTTCTCCAGAAGTAACCTATTTTTGATTCCCAAGGAGAATCGCAATAATAAAACTAAATTAATCTAGTAGGTTATTTTCTCTCTAATGGCACCAGTCCTGATTAATAGGATTTCGGTCGATCTATTTCCTGGGCTTCCCTGGTGGCTCAGATGGTCAAGAATCTGTCTGCAATGCAGGAGACCTGGGATCCATGCCTGGGTTGAGAAGATCGCCTGGAGAAGGGAATGGCAACCTCTTCCACTATTCTTGCCTAGAGAATTCCACGGACAGAGGAACTTGGGAGGCCACAGTCCATGGAGTCACAAAGAGTCGGACACAGCTGAGCAACTAATACACATATTTTCTTACCATTTGCTGAGTAGAAGCAATCATTCAGAGCATTTTATAGCACTTTCTAAAGAACGCTTAGTGCCTTAGTGTTTCTATTTAAAGTTTCTAGGATGTTAATTTATATGCAAATAAAATACATAAGAGAGTTCTGTGCCTATTGTGTATATATGACCTCAAAGTAAATGCAAAATATTTATCCCAGAGGGAAAATAAGTTAGAGTGTCTGTGTTCAAAGACTTTTGAAAGCTCTTATTTCAGGCCGAACCGTTGCTGGTGAAGAGTGAAAGTCACTCAGTCATGTCAGACTCTGCGAACGCATGGACTATACAGTCCATGGAATTCTCCAGGCCAGAATACTAGAGTGGGTAGCCGTTTCCCTTCTCCACGGGGTCTTTGCAACCCAGGGATGGAACCCAGGTCTCCTGCATTGCAGGTGGATTCTTCACCAGCTGAGCCACCAGGGACGCCCCAACAGTTATGAGCAGTTAAGGATTTAACAAATGCTAGATTGTAAAGATAAAATAATAATTCTGCTACGTTAACACACATTTTCTTAAGATCAAATGTTCTCAACGCAGTTTCAGGGAAGAAGTATTTCCCCCTTATGGAAATATCAGTATGTTAATCCCTAAGAAGTCCTTTTCCGAAAAGTTACAAAATAGTTGCGACAATGTAGATGATGTAGATTAAATGGTGATAAACATTGAGTTGATCTCAGTGAGGCAGCAGTGAGTGGTGGCCTGAAGTGAGATCTACTTCGCTGCCCAGGAACTGACCCTGGGTAGCCTGAACCAAAACCAGGAATCCTAGCCGCCAGACCAGCAAGGGCTAGAGGCTAGAAGCCAAGTTTCCCTGGATCTTTGACCAGTGAAAAATGCATTTATCATGGAGGCAGAATCGGTAAATGCAGGTACAACGTTTATTATTAGTGACACAGCACAGCAACATGTGGGAAAGCACACGGAGAAACAGCTGGTCTCGTTAAGACAGAAGCAAAGCAGAGAGACACACCTGGAGAGAAAGGTTATGGGCGCCCCCTAGTGAGAAGGAGCACAATAACCACAAGGCAGTTAAGTCATTTAGACAGGCCAGTTCTTCTGGGTCTTTGTCTTCCTTCCTGCCAAGTTTCTGGTTTCTCTCTTCCCATCTGACCTATCCTGGGACTCTCCCCTGGTGTGCACATACCCCTCAGCCAAGATGGATCTCCAACTGGAGGCTTCTGGGAGAAGCAAGGCTCATTATGGTCTGGCATTTTCGCGGGACTTTTCACCCACAAGGAGCCTCTCTGCGCATGTGTAGTGTTTCCCTTGAACCAAAGGGGGGGGTGGGGGGAGGGGAGATCTCTTCATCCTTGACTCAAGCAGGAGTTTGTCCCTCTTTGCCCTTCCCATGGCTATGAAAGTGTTCATAAGAGACAGACACTGGCTATTTACCCTCTTTCTGTTGTTACTTCCATTTCAGAGGGCAAGCAGGACACTGATTGGAAAGGCTCAACTGGAGCCCAACCATCTCTTGCCTCAGGAAATGTAAACAGGCTAGATGTCAATGCCTAACGTGGAGTCCATCTGTCTCCTACAGCAGCATTACGGGAAGACAAAAGGTAGAAAATTATGCCAATGGGGCACCACATCATGGTGCAAAAAGATGGATATAGACAAGGAAAGAAGGAATAAAAACTAAGCATGATGCTAATGGAAACCATTATGCAAGTTAATGGGGGGTGGGGGGAAACCTCATGGAAAACACTTGCATTTATGCCATAAACCATCTTTGAATTCAGGTCTAATTGAAATGTTCACCATAAACTTTTCATCAGCTATACATTGGCTTGCCGTCTACTTTGTGCAAAAGCCTGGAGCTCCTAACTACCAGGGGGTCTCCCATCCAAGTACTAACTAACCCTGCATAGTTTCCCAGATGAGAAGACATCTGGCCTATTCAAGGGGGTATGATCTTAGATGGAGGCGGCTGTCGCCAGGGTCCTTTGAAAACCCTGCGCTGCACCTCCTTTTCGCCCTGATGTGCCGTGTCGAGCCAGCCGGCCCCACCTTTCCACGGGGCGCGCCGGCCACAGCCCGGCCGAAACCGCCCCGTCCCTCACACCGGCAACCCTGGCCAGCAAACCTGGCCCGGCACGGGGGTCCGGAGTGTTTCCGGGACCGCGAGCGGCCGGTCGGGTGTGCATGCCCGGGCTTGGGTTTGGGGTGAGGGGCGCGGAGGTCTCGTCGCCCTCCCGGCCTGGGCCTCTCCAGGCCCGCCCCCTGTCGGCGCCCCCCCTGCCCACTCCCGTTTGTGGCTCAGGGATACGTGGCCCCGGAGGTGTCTGATTCGGGCCCACCGCGGACCGCGGCCCTCGGTCCTCTGAGCCTCCCGCGGGCATAGGCGGAGTGCAGCCGGGGCCCTGAGCGCCTATCCTGCCTGGCACCTGCGTGGGGCCCAAACCCACCGGGAGCCACCAGCGAGGTCCACCCGAGCGCCTTCTGACCCACCCGTTCGCCCGAACGCGGCCCCCCTCCTCGCCAAGCTGCCCGCCAAGCACAGGACCTTCCTGACGTCCTTAAAACTCTTGCTTCAAGAGTTCTAAGTACACTTCAG